GTCAAGGCCGCCCAGCAGGACCAGCCGGGACCCAGTGCCTGTCCTCCGAACCGCCTGTTCGTTCCGCAGACGTTGAGGTCTGATGTTATCCAGTTGGCTCATAACTCCAGACTCACCTGCCATCCTGGGATCCAACGTACATGGGAGGTAATCCAGAAAAAGTTCTGGTGGGCAACACTTAAGAAGGACACCAGGGAATTTGTTAATGCCTGCCCTGTTTGCAATCAAAACAAGTCTTCTCACCAAGCTCCTGCTGGTCTCCTACGACCTCTGCCTATCCCTCATCGCCCCTGGTCTCACATTTCTCTGGACTTTGTTACTGGTCTGCCACCGTCCAACGGACACACTGCCATCTTGACGATGGTAGACCGATTCAGTAAGATGGCTCATTTCAGTGTTTCCCACAGATATGAAATATACTTGGGCGGGTGGTGGCAACATTTTTAATGTTGTTAAAAAAAGTTTTAACAACATTATTTATTGACTTTTCATTCCGGTATAATCATTTTGCGCAAAGATGGCACTGTTTGTCAGAGCACTTCATCCTTCTGGGATTTCATGAAGAACAGCTCCAACGCCTGTGTGTATGGGAATGCCTCTGGTGCTGGTCCATTAACTGCCAGTGTTTCCCACAGATCTGAAATATACTTTGGGGGGTGGTGGTAGCGGGGGGGGTTGAGGTGACGTGCAACAACATTAACCTTTCTGTTGGTCGCTTGTTAGCAGACCCTTCACGCGATGGCAGAGCGAACAGGTACAGGTACAGGCAGGGTCCATAATGATAGCCCTATAGTTTAAATCTACTACCCACACATGAACATATGGAAATGGGTTACTATTTAAAAAAAATAAATGTATTTATTAATGTATTTAGGAACCTATCCATGTGATTTTTAGTGGGGGTCGACCTCAAATCCTCTAGGGGGGTCCAGGGGCATGCCCCCCCGGTAAGATTTTATTTTTTATTTTGGAGTTAAATGCATCAATCTGGTGCATTTTGAGGGGAAAATAAAGAGACTAGATCTATGGAAACACCTATATTTAACAGAACTGTATACATTTCAATAATCATAAAATCAAGGCCATAACCAATAACATACCATTTCCAATATGAAAAAAACACTGAAACTTGTTTATTCATTTAGTTTTGGTTCATTTATAGTTGTGAGTGTGTCTGTGCTCCTGAATCAGCCTCTCCTGTCTCCCTCCTCTCCCCCCTCTCCATCATCTCCCCCTGCTCCTCTTTGAGGCAGCAGCAAAGACTAGTTTTCTCTCAACAAGTTTTAAAAGTGTATCTTACCTTTTTTCACCTAGTTAACTTTTTATTTATTTATTCATGCATATTTTACTAATCACATTACATTTCATTTAGCTGACGCTTTTATCCAAAGCGACTTATAATGACCGATTACAGGGACATTCTCCCTGGAGTAACTAAGGGCTAAGTGCCTTACTCAAGGGCACACTAGTGGTGGTGTTCCTGGCGGGATTTGAACTCACAGCCTTCCGATCTTCAGCCCACCTCACTCTCCATTAGACCAATCACTACCCTCTCAAATGGAAATATGTGTTTACATAAATGGTGACCACACCGTTTGAGACCCACTGAGAACTTAGACTAAGTTAACTATCTAAACACTCAGAGAGTCCTTTACCTCACCTGAGCTGAGGTTATCCCGAGCTTGAATGACACACAGAGACCAATCAAGGGCTTTGATTTATGATCTGTATGACAGTGGCCATGTCGGTAGGCAGGCCCGGACTGGCCATCGGGAGGACCGGGAGGTTTCCCGATGGCCTGGCCTGCTAAGTGGCCTGCTGGCCTGAGGATTTTTTTTTTAATGTATGTATTGTGAACGCAACGCTGCGCAAATGTGGGTCTGACTCTGCCTCACAGAGGGTGACTGGCTGTCTACATGATGTGGCCTGCCCACATGTCCACTTTCATACAGATCATACTAATACCCTCGATTGGTCTCTGTGTGTCATTCAAGCTCCGGCGGGTGTGTGTGTTATGTGTGGCGCGAGCGAGTGAGATAAAGCACGCGCACCGGTTACGTGTATTGTTGTTGTTAGCATCTGGTGCTAGCTAGCTGCGCTAACGGATATAAGGAGCTGTTTCAACAACAAGGTGGAGGAGAGTCCTCTCCTGTCAGACTGAGAGACTGATAACTACAGCTCAGGTGAGGTAAAGGACTCTCTGAGTGTTTAGATAGTTAACTTAGTCTAAGTTATCTCAGTGGGTGTCACGATTCTCATGTCATGTCACATTTCTATGTCTAGGTTTGGGTGTTTTTGCTGTTCTCTCTGTCATGTTTTCCTCCTTGTGTATTATCTAGTCCCTCTCCCTGGGTTTTTCCTCCCTGTCGTTAGTTTCCCTGGTGTGTCTAGTTGTCTGATTGTGTTCACCTGTGGCCCTTGTGTTTCTCCTCCCCTGCCCGGCTGTTTCTCGTCTTGTGATTACCCCTCCCTGTATTTAGTCTTGTCTCTTCCTGTGTTCAGTGTTGGTGCTTCTTTTGTTTGTGACTGAGTTCACCGTGGAGTGTTTTGTTTGTCCATGTTATATGTTAAGATAAGAGCCCTTGAAATAAAGGTATTATCAGTGTTATCTGCGTTTGGGTCCTACCTGCTTCACTCCTCGTATCAGTGGGTCTCAAACGGTTTGGTCACCATTTATGTAAACACATATTTCCATTTGAGGGGGGAGTGAGATTAGTGAAATATGCATGAATAATAATTTAAAAAACGTTAACTAGGTGAAAAAAGTTAAGATAAACTATTAAAACTTGTTGAGAGCTAAAACTAGTCTTTGCTGCTGCCTCAAAGAGGAGCAGGGGGGAGAGGGGGAGACGGGAGAGGCTGATTCAGGAGCACAGACACACTCACAACTACTGTATAAATGAACCAAAAACAAATAAATAAACACGTTTCAGTGTTTTTCATATTGGATATAGTATGTTATTGGTTATGGCCATGTTCTTATGATTTTATGATTATTTAAATGTATACAGTTATGTTTCATATGCATGTAGTCTCTTTATTTCCCCCTCAAAATGCACCAGATTGATGCATTTAAGTCCAACATCTAAACAAAAAAATGCCCCGGACCCTCCTATAGGATTTGAGGTCCACCCCCACTTAAAATTTGTTCACATACGTTCCTAAATAGATTTGCAAATTTTTTTAAATAGTGACCCATGTCCATATGTTTATTTTTGGGTAGTAGATTTAGAGGGCTATCACTATGGGCAGCAACGCTGTAAATATTGACAAATAAATCCAGGAAAATGGCACAAAAGAAAACTGGTAGTGGCCTGCCTGGGTGTATAATTCCCGGCCTGAATTATTGTCCCAGTCCGGCCCTGTCGGCAGGCCACATCATGTGGACAGCCAGTCACCCTGTGTGAGGCAGGCCACTTAACAGGCCAGAAGGAGGCGAGATCAGAGCAAGGGAGCGAGGGATCATTGTCTACAAGTTAATCGATCGCAGATGGCGTCGTGGTCACGGACGAATAAAAAAAATATATATTTAAAAAAATAATAAACTAAATGGGTCGCGAAATATACTTGGGCGGCCGTTAATATACCTGGGCGGCCCACCCAAGTATAGTCTATGTGTGGGAAACCCTGCATTTTGTGCCGATACCCAAGCTCCCCTCAGCTAAAGAGACGGCGGAGCTGGTCCTGCTCCATGTGTTCCGGCTCCATGGGCTGCCTACTGATGTGGTTTCCGATCGTGGTCCTCAATTTACCTCTGTGTTCTGGAGGGAATTCTGCACGCTCCTTGGGGCCACGGTCAGTCTGTCATCCGGTTTCCATCCGCAATCCAACGGTCAGACAGAAAGAAAGAACCAGGAGATGGAGACGACTTTACGCTGTATAGTCTCCAAGCACCCAGCGGCCTGGGCTAAACAACTGCTCTGGGTCGAGTACGCCCACAACACGCTGGTCAGTTCGGCCACCAAGCTGTCCCCATTTCAGTGTGCTTACGGGTTTCAACCACCTCTGTTTCCGGCCCTGGAGAGGGAGGTTACCTGTCCGTCCGTCCAGGCTTTCATCCGTCGTTGTCGACGGACCTGGAATCAAGCCCGGAGAACTCTCGTTTGTTCGGCCAACCGGTACGCCTCCTCTGCCAACCGCCGACGTTCCAAAGCACCTGTCTACCAGGTGGGCCAAAAGGTATGGCTTTCCTTCCGGGATATTCCTTTACGGGTGGATTCGAAGGAGCTTGCACCTAGATTCATTGGACCTTTTGAGATTGTCAGGATAATCAATCCCGCAGCAGTAAGGCTAAGACTGCCTCGGACTCTGCGGATCCATCCCACCTTCCACGTTTCCAGGATCAAACCTGTCCGAGAGAGTGCCTTGGTTCCTGCGGTCCCTCCCCCACCACCCCCCCGGATGATTGACGGCGGGCCTACGTACACTCTCCGACGACTTCTTCGTTCCCGTCGCAGAGGAAGAGGAGTCCAGTACCTGGTGGACTGGAAGGGTTACGGCCCTGAGGAGAGGGCTTGGGTTCCAGATCGTCATGTGTTGGACCCCCGGCTCATCAGGGAGTTCCATCGGCGTAATCCCGAGCAACCGTCTAAGACCGTCACGTCGACGGGCAGAGACACAGGGAGAGTCTCTCCTCTTACCGTCAGCTCTTCAGAGGAGGACAGCGAGGGGCCGGCTTCTGATGAGGACGCAGATTCCCACAGGGGGCAGGAGAGGGAGGCCGAAAGAACTTTTTCAGATGAGTATTAATCCCACCTCCCACCCTCCTCTGTAGATTAGCATTTTGGGACGTCAGGAGCCGTCCATTAAGGGGGGGGTTCTGTCATAGTCTGCTCCATCATTCACCAGTAGTTTTCCATTCACCTGTCTCACCTGTTTTCCACACCCACTCGTTAGCTCACTCTCTTTCTCTTCTCCACCCATTAGCTTCTGCCAGTATTTAAACCCGCACCTTACACACACTCTTTGCCAGATTGTACTTTGCCTCATGCTTGTCTTTCCCGCGTTTGATACCAGATTGCCTACCCGGTTCCGACCCTGCCTGTCCTCGATCTGCCTGCTCCCTGATCCTGCCTGTCCCTCGACTATGCTGTTTGGTCTGTTATCCGACCCTGCCTGTATCTACGCTGACCGCCTCGCTTACTCCCTGACTCTCTGCCTGTCCCTGACTCACCTTCTGCCCGCTGTCCTCCGGTGCGTTAAACTGCTCGGTTGGTATTCCTCAGATCCAGTGGAATCTCCAATAAAGTTTATTACCAATTCTCCTTGGTTTCTCGAGTGCTGCATTTGGGTTCTCCTTAAGATTGTGACAAGAGGCCTTTGCATATTTAAAACCAGTGCCAAATATGTAAAATCTGTAAAGTTGTTGTAAAACTACAGAAACAAACTCTCAATGGCCACCAGTCTGCAGATCACACACATCCATTTGACAAAAGATGTAACAAAGATGTTTACACTGCCGACAGGGAGAGCAACAGAGGAAGGATCCCTCTCCCAGGACGGACAGACGTGCAATAGATGCCGTGTGTAAATCGAAGAGATAATACATTTTACAGCATATAGACCGAATGTTAGGAAATGCATGTGTCTGTAATAAGAAGATGAATCCACGAGGATGTCAGCTACAATCCTGTGGAAGCCATCAGGGAAGCAGCATGACGAGACCCATGGCAGGACCGCAGAGACAGGTTCAGCCACGTCCCGAACGTCCACGACTTAATCCAGAACTCAGGATAGAGGGTCCAAGACACAGGACTACAGCAAGAGGATCAGCCTCGACTCCGGATCCCGGCGTAGAGATAGATACAAAACAAGAAAAAAGATTTGGCTGGGTTAATCGGAACAAGAGAATACACAGACACAGACAGAGAGGGAGAAGGTCATTGGATAAAAGTTATTCTTGATAACCCTCTAGAAAGATCTCATGAACTTCCCCACTCAATCTATCAAGACCCGAGCAGTTCTATTAGATATAGGACAAGAAACAGAGATAGGGAGCACAACAACCTCTGTCACCCTCTGTCTGAAACCAGAGCCCAGTCTGCTCTGATTGGTTAGCTGGCCGGCTCTGTTGTGACCCCTTACAGATGTGTTGGAAATGTGTTGGAGTGCTAGCCAATAGAAGCGTGAGCGTTTAATAGTGATGTTATTATGTTACAGACAAAACAAAGGAGTGTGTGGGAGAGAAACTCCCTCCGGGTGGATTTTAGTCTTTGCAGATCACATACTTTTGTGTGTTTAAAGCTTGATGCACTGAACCATGGTGAATGCTATGGTTGAAAAGACATGGGCTACTGACAGAAAGCCAGATTGTACAGCAAACGTTGGGCTTTAGTATGAAACGATGGTCCTCGATCACAAGACATATGCTCCAACAAATGTCAGACAATAACATGTAGGACAGAAGTATCACCTCTGACTGCTGCTCTCTCACCTAGATCATGTTTAGGTATCAAGCATGGGAGCCACAGAGCAAACACAGGGTGACATTAATTAATTCAAAGAATACAATCTCTCATTTGCTGTCTTTTATTTACCTAGAAAAAAACGTATTAACGATGAGTCATTGAGATGACTGATGACCTGCGAAGAGCGAGGAGTGCTTGGCTGAATACCAAATGAACGCATGTTGGGAGGAGAATAAATCTGTGCTTCATCTCCTTCCTTATCGTTCTATTGGCTGAACACATCTGCAATACATATCCATCTGAATAACAAACCCTTAGGGAGTTTTGATTATTGGAAATGTTAGATATAACAAACGTATTTCCTACACATCAGGTTTTTATTTTACGATTCATTAACTCTGGAAAAGCTCCAAACAATGTTAAATATCATTGTTTTTGCGGCTGCTGCGAAGTCATTTTAATGTACTTTACATTCTAACTCAAACCAAAATTACATTTAAAGTTTTGATTGCAGACACCGGTTTATTCTGGTGGTTTTCCAAGCTGTCATTACTTAAAATAAATAGGGAAACAATATATTCTTACACTTCCCATTTTCTGCACATATAGATGTTTATTCAATCACGTCACTTGTGGACTGAAACTAACAATGTTTGTTTACCGGGCGATATAAAGCTTGATGGCTCATCCATGTGAGAGGGTAAAAACAGTGTAGCGTTGGACCAGTAATATAATTAAAGGTTTAAGAGAGGAGATTTAAAAGAGTCTGCAATAACAGCCTCAGGCAGGAAAACAGTCTTAAGAGGGTGAGTACTGTGTAACGTTGGTGCTGTAGCATAAGAAAAAGGGGCTGATGAAATGTTGTTTTTATATTTGATGGAAAGAATGTATATTCGTGCATTTATATTTTGAAAAGCCTTTACACTTGGCATGATGTACGTGAGGAGGCTCTGGGAGGTAATGTAAGATCAAGACATTGGATATTTACCAAATAACATGCTTAATGAACACATCTCCTCCTTTCTGTTGTGCACCGACAGAAATGTTAAGTCTAGTCATGTTTCATGTTTTGTAACCACTTCCTGTCCTGGTGTGTGTCTCCCGTCCTCATCAGCCCCGCCCCGCCCATGATTGTCCCCACCTGTCTTGTTATCCTTCCCCAGTCTCCCATGTGTTCTTTGTCAGTTCGTCTTGTCCTGTCCTCATGCCACTACGCTGCTCGTCGTCGATTGCGTCTTTTTTCAAGCCTACGTTATGCTTCTGAAACGTATTGAAAGTTTAATTCCTCACGTTGTGAGCAGTATTTTGTTGTACCTTTTTGGACCCTTTTTTGTCACCTCGTAAGAGTGTTTTTCTTTTGTATATCTGTTATGGAAGAAATAAAGTATATTAATTATACTTTACCTCTGGCTCCCGGGTCATGCATTTTAGTCCTTACCTTTGAGTATCCAAGTTCGTGACACTTTCTGCTCACGTGATCATATATGGTACGTATGGTATACGGTTTATTTATTTGTATTTATTCATTTATTTAAGAGGGACAGTGCACATTAATGAACATTTCTGTAAACGTGCCAGAGTTAGCCAAGAGGCTATTTTTCATCTGTAGTCCCTGGACAGATTTTAAAAGTCAACCTAAAACACATTTCATTTTAAACAAGTAAATACAATACATTTAAAACATGCAACACACATTACTGGGATACTTAAATAAAACAATTTAAAATACAGAACATTAAAACAAAACAAAAGAACATGTTAAAACACAGGCGGTGGGTTGTAAGGAGCAGAAGATTGGGTCAGTGTTGGCAGAGCTGATTCCTCACTAACCATATTTTGAGTTTTGATTTAAATAAAGTGAATGTGGTCTGGTCTCTGATTGGAGGTGGGATTGAGTTCCATTGCTGAGCAGCTTTAACAGAAAATGAAGACTGACTGAAATAACTTTTTCTGAGTGGAATAATGCAATCTCCTCTCGCTGCACCTCTTGTTACCCTAGTTGCAGTTGTGCGTATGTTAATAAACTGTCTAAGAGGAGGTGAGGTTAGGCCGTTGACAATCTTGTAGAAAAGGCAAGCATTTGTTTAATGAGGTTTTCTCAGCTTAGCAAGTTGTATTTTTTTAGTATTGGGCAGTGATGCGAAAAAACAGATTTTTTGTCCAGTATTTTGAGTGTTTGTTTTGTACAATGACTCCAGTGGTTTTAATGTTGTTGTACTGGCATGTGACCAGGTAGTTAAACAGTAGGTGATGTGTGAGAGAACCATAGCGTGTGTGTACATCAGAGATGCCTCAATTGATGTAGGTTCCGGGTACCTGCCGTGCGGACCGAGGCTGGATAAAGGAGTCTTTTTTATTATGCTCCTTGGTCTTGGAATGACCTTCAATCAAGCTTCAAACTGATGGCACTCCCTATTGCCTGTTTTAAATTAGTGGCTCCTTATTTTCATCTAAAGTGACAGACGGAGAACAGAGGGGATTATGGGTAATGCTGCAATGATCTGTTTCGTATTTCGAGCCAATCAGAGGCATGTTCTGTATATATCTGAGACCTTTAATATATTGATGAGAAACAGTATAATAGGAGACCTTTAAGGCAATGTTTATACTTTTTACATTACATTACATTGCATTTAGCTGACGCTTTTATCCAAAGCGACTTACAATAAGTACATTCGACCAGGAAGACACAACCTTGAAGAAAACAGAATCATATAAGTACATCAGGTTTCATAGAGCCAAACATTTCAAGTGCTACTCAACTGGCTTTAGGTAATCCAGTCCTTTATTAGTATAAAAGTGCTTCGTTAATAGTTCTAACGCTCGAAGTGGAGTCGAAAGAGATGAGTTTTCAGTTTGCGCCGGAAGATGTGCAAGCTATCTGCCGTCCTGATGTCAATGGGGAGCTCATTCCACCATCTTGGAGCCAGGACAGCAAACCCACGTGTTTTCGCCGATGGGAATTTGGGTCCCCCTCGCAGCGAGGGCGCAACGAGTCGTTTGGCTGATGCAGAGCGTAGTGCACGCGCTGGGGTGTACGGTTTAACCATGTCCTGGATGTAGGAAGGGCCAGATCCATTCGCAGCATGGTAAGCAAGTACCAGTGTCTTGAAGTGGATTCTAGCAGTTACCGGAAGCCAGTGAAGGGAGCGGAGGAGCGGAGTGGTGTGGGAACATTTAGGAAGGTTGAAGACCAGACGAGCCGCTGCATTCTGGATGAGCTGCAGAGGTCGGATGGCACATGCAGGTAGACCAGCCAGGAGGGAGTTGCAGTAGTCTAGGCGTGAGATGACGAGAGCCTGGACCAGAACCTGAGTCGCTTTCTGAGTCAGCTGGGGACGTATCTTCCTAATGTTGTAAAGCGTGTATCTGCAGCAACGGGTTGTAGCAGCGATGTTTGCAGTGAAGGACAGGTTGTTATCTAGGGTCACACCCAGATTCCTTGCAGTCTGAGTCGGGGAAACAACTGAGGTGCCGATGTTGATTGTTGATTGATTGATTGTGTTGATTGTCAGGTCAAGAGTGGGACAATCTTTTCCCGGGAGGAAGAGCAGCTCAGTCTTGTCAAGGTTGAGCTTGAGGTGGTGAGCAGACATCCACTGAGAGATGTCAGCTAGACAAGCAGAGATGCGTGCGACGACCTGGGTCTCTGAGCGGGGAAAGGACAGAATTAATTGGGTGTCGTCAGCGTAGCAGTGGTAAGAAAAACCATGCGGGCTAATGACTGATCCGAGCGAGTTTGTGTACAGGGAGAAGAGGAGGGGACCAAGAACAGAGCCCTGAGGGACCCCCGTAGTTAATTGACAAGGGTCGGACTCAGACCCTCTCCAAGTCACCCTGTAGGTACGGTCTTTCAGGTATGAGGTGAGGAGGGAAAGTGCAGAGCCTGTGTGACGGAGCGGATCACATGAGTGACTCACTCCGCCACTGACAGCCGACACACACACACGCACACACAACACACCAAACATTTCGGAGAAAAGACGGAGCTGCATCACTTCCGTGTTTTAAATTCCTAAAAATGAACCATGCAATTTCTTATTTATTTTTACTTTTGTTAATTATGGGGAATGACGGTTAAGAGGTAGTTAACCTGTGTATGTTTGGTGCAGATAGTTTCCTCATGTTGGAGGAAATTACATTTATGTTGACAATGTGGTTTGGAGTTGATTGTGTCACCTGTTGACGGTGAGCCTGTGGGAGGGGCCATTGGTTCAAAAGGGACGGTGTTGGTTCCTTGTGGGGGCGGACTGTGTCACTCGAAGAATGTTGCAGTGAAGGCAACAGCTGGGATGTGTTCGGGGGTTTGTTGCAGAGAAGGCAACAGCCAGAACACGTTTACTCTGAATGAGTGATGGACGGCCTGTTTTTGTCTTTTATTTTTGTTGTTTACATTGTGCTGGTTCCGTTTTTGTTTTGTTGCTGTAAATAAAGTTGTGGAGCTTAACCCAACCGACTAGGCCAGTGTTTTGTGTTTTTTGAACGGACAAATAGAGCCCCGTCACAGCCTGAAACTCCAAGTTTTTGGAGAGTGCGAAGGAGGATCTGATGATTCACCGTGTCGAATGCAGCAGACAGGTCCAACAGGATGATGACAGAGGAGAGGGATGCAGTTTTGGCAGTGTGCAGTTCCTCCGTGACAGCAATGAGAGCAGTTTCTGTGGAGTGACCTGCCTTGAAACCAGACTTGTGCGGATCCAGAAGGTTGTTCTGATTGAGATAACAGGAGAGTTGTTTAAAGACAGCGCGTTCAAGTGATTTAGACAGGAACGGGAGGAGAGAGACAGGCCTGTAGTTTATAACATCAGACGGGTTGAGAGTGGGTTTCTTTAGGAGAGGGTTTACTCTTGCCTCCTTGAGACTGTTTGGAAAGTGACCAGAAGTTAGAGAAGTGTTGATGAAATGGGTGAGAAACGGTAGAATATCAGGAGCGATAGTCTGAAGGAGGTTTGAAGGGATAGGGTCCAGAGGACAGGTGGTAGGGCGGGCAGAGGTAATGAGGGTAAGAACCTCACTTGGAGAGAGAGGGGAAAAGGAGGTTAGTGTGTTGGGGAAGGAGGGTCTGGTGACCCAGCGGTGAGTAAAGGTGAGTCAGAAAAAGAAGAGCGAATATCATCAACCTTTTTTTCAAAGTGGGTAACAAAGTCGCTTGACAGAAGTGAGGAGGGGGGAGGAGCTTTTGGAGGGTCCAAGAGGGTGGAGAAGATGGAAAATAGTTTTTTATTTGAAAGTAAACCCATGCTTCTAAAAACAATGTGGGTCAATGTTCTGCCGCTTTTATGTTGTAAATAAAAGTAAAATGTCAACATCTAATCTCTCCTTTTCTTGTTTCTTTTACAAGTCTGCCACCATGATATGGAGATGGGTTCATTTAAGTGCTCTTCTTCTTGGAGCACTCGCATCCCCAGCTCTATCCTCCCAACGCACCACTAACACTGACGGAGAATCCTGTCACATCTACAGATCTGGCCGCTCAGCAGACTGTCTGGGAAGACAGTTCGAGCATATCCCGTGGAGACAATTTCCATCCACACTGGAAGAGATAGATCTCTCTTACAATAAACTTCAAGCTGTCCGTGTTGACGACTTCCTCCGCCTCCCTCAGCTTCACACCCTAAAGCTGCAGTACAATAACATTTCACACATTGACAAAGATGCCTTTAAAAACAACACGCTGCTGGAGCATCTTAACATCTTCAATAACTCCCTGGAGGAAATTCCTGCCGCAGCTTTGTCTACTCTGTTGAATCTGAAAAAGCTCTACATGTCCAATAACCTTTACAAAAGTGCGACTTTGGCTCATAGCTTTTCCAAATGTGTCAAACTGAAAGTTCTGTCTATGGGTGGCCCTCTGGTGATGGGTCTAAAGAAAGCTGATTTTCAGCCCCTGAAGAACATTAAGTTACAGGAGTTTGCAATTAAATGTTCATCCGATCTCAGTTACTACGAGCCTGGAAGTTTAGAAGTCATCCAGACAAGAGATATGGGCTTTGATATGGCCATAGATCAACTGCCACATGCTCTTCCCTACATGCTACAGGACATTGCCAACAAGACCTTCAGGGCCATCCAATTCCGAAACATCTTTGAGTTCATGTACTACATGGAAGATGAGGACATTTTCAAGGGTTTAAAAGACATCACAGCCCAACAGCTCGTCTTTCACAGAGGCAAATTCAATGAGAATCTCCTCAGTATGGCTTTGATGAACTTACAAGACGCCCCCATCAAAAGGTTGAGACTTCAGTACATCGACTTTGCCCGTTCACCCACGTTTGTTGATAGCGGAGCTGGTTCCAGCATCACCGACCTGGCACTGGATAAGTTGGAGCTTTGGTGAGTATCTCCGTATTACGGGGCACCCCTCGCAAACAATACAAATCATATGGTTTGAAACTTAACCAATGCTAATGTCATAATGTCATGTTTCTTGAAGAATGATGTCATAAAAATGCAGTTTCCAACAACAATTCTAAGCTTACATATTATTAAGTTACTCTGCATTCACAAAGAGATTATTAAGTTTGAAGTCTATCAGGAATTCACAAACTTGCAATTACCTGACTTGATGTAGGTTCAAACCAAAACTCACAATATGTATAAGGTATTGACATTGAAAAGAAATGTGTGCTAAAACTGAAACTCCTTCAGACTGTTCACCACAATAATAAATGCAGCTGAAATAGATTTTGACAATTTTACAAAATGCAAAAACAATTAGATGCAACCTTAAAGTTGACCTATCATGCAAAATGTCTTTTATCCATAAATATGTGTCCCCGGTGCGTCGGGGGAACTCACGCTGCGTCAGAAAATAAAACCCTCTCTCTTTTCCTCCGTACCCAAATCTCTAAAAACGGGTTTACAACGAGCGGATACAGATTTCCATCCGCTGTGATGTCGGCGGACCCACAGAGAGTTGCTATCAGAAACAATGCCTGACGTGTTTTGGACGTAATCTCGTCTTTGTTTACGTTAGCAAGCCTCGCTAACACTCAGAGCTAACCTGTACTGTAGAGCACATGTGTTTAAAAAGCAGGAAATAAAAAAATAACTCACCTTGTGATAAACCCGCAAGAGAAAAAGCATTTGAGCTCCATACTGTTTCAGGAATAATCCTTGACGTGGTTTAGAACAGGATGGCGTTTTATCACAGCAGAATTTAACTTTATCTCCGGTAGAATTCTGATCAGGCATTAGCTCCGCCTCCTCTTCTTTCTTTTTTTTCAAGCTAAGGACCCCAGATCCGTGTTTCTCTAACAGGGCTTCAAAAGAGGGGTTTGAGCAGTATGAGGCATGGCTACAACGGGTGATCTGTTTGGTATTTTGAAAGAAAAACTTCACAGACATGTTTTATATAGGTATGGCCCTACAATATATGTTTCAAGTATAGCATGATAGGTCCACTTTAAATAGCCAGTGTGCAACAAAAGTCAAATAGCACACAATGCTAAATTAATTTGCCTTCATTTAATTAGATTTCTCATAAGTAGCTCCATCGACCAAGTCTTTAACTCTAACCCTAACCCTAACTGAACCCTTTTAAATATATTTCCTAAAATGAACCACTTTATGTAGCATACTGCATCATGTTTACAGCTGACTTGGAATACTACCACAATTACCTGTAAAATAAATGGATGCTAAAACAAATCTCTATTTCTTTAGGTACATCAGCAACCCTGATATCCTGAGATTTGACTGGCGCTTCACCTGGTTCAACAAAGTTAAGGAACTGTCCATTCAGCATGTGTACTTCAACTTCGTTCCCTGCGATGCCTGGGTTGAGATGGAAGTTGTGGAGATACTGGATGCCTCCAATAATCGTCTCAATAATGAGTTCCTGTTTAACAAACAGTGTGATTACAGGGGCGCCGTGCCAAATCTTCACACCCTCAACATGAGCAGAAATGTCCTGACCAGTTTAAGAGACTTGTCAATGCTAACAAAGGAGTTCAAGCAGCTGCATGTATTGGATTTTAGCTTCAACCAGATGGGATCTGCTGGAACAAGTCAGGACTGTGTTTGGCAAATAAATATCACCAGGATTATAGCTCACCACAATCCATTTGTAAGTGAAGCTCTGCAGTGTCTGCCCACCACGGTGCAGTACTTGGACTTGTCCTACTGCGACCTCGACCAGCTGGACTTGATGTACTTTGAGAAAGCCACCAACCTGAAAGAGCTCCTGTTAAGTGGAAATAAAATCAAGTATATACCATGTAAGTGGAAAAGTCAGTCACTGCAGTCACTATCTTTGGATGGGAATTCGTTCGGTCTCATTAGCAAGGCGTCTTTCCAGGACATGCCTCAACTATCTCAGCTGAGGGCAGGGAACAATCCTTTCCATTGCACCTGTGAACTCCATGCGTTCGTCCAGGATACGATTTCAAAGGCAAAGGTTAACCTGACCGACTGGCCTTGGAACTACAGGTGTTACCATCCAGAGGCCTTGCTAAACACAGTCATATCCAAATTCTTCCCAAATCAAGTAGCCTGTGACACCAGACTAGTGATCATCATCTGTGTGGTGACCACTGCAGCAGTGATCTTGATATTAATGCTGATTTGCTATATTTTTGACCTGCCGTGGTACACTAAAGCAACGTATCAGATCATCCGGGCCAAATACAGATATCACAAGGAAAAGGCGGCGGGGGAATTGGAGGATTGTACTTATCATGCCTTTATATCATACAGCCACTCTGATGCAGACTGGGTGAGGGAACAGCTCTTACCCAGTTTAGAGAACCACAAGAACCCTTACCGTCTGTGTATTCATGAGAGGGACTTCATGCCAGGAAAGTGGATCATCGATAACATCATTGACAACATTGAAAGCAGCCGTAAGGTACCGACATTGAGTTTTTCTTTACATGGCAAAATACAACACACAAAAATATTACAAAGCAATGTACTTCATGTTTTATTTTCCTTTTTTTGTTGTGTCTCCATCCTCAGGTAATATTCATCCTCTCTCGGCACTTTGTGAACAGCGAGTGGTGCAACTATGAGCTGTACTTCACTCAGCAGAGAGCAATGGGAAAGACCTTTGGGGATGTCATCCTTGTGATGATGGAGCCCATGGATGCCAGGTCCATTCCCAGCAAGTACTGCCGGCTGAAGAAGATGCTCAGCACCAAGACATACCTGGAGTGGCCCCAGCAGGTCAACCTGCAGGCGTTTTTCTGGGCACAGCTGAGGAGTGTTCTGGGCAAGCCGACAATGACCCGAGAGGAGAGGCACAGCGTTAGGAGCAGAACGTTATCTGTGGGCGAAGTTTCTGTGATTGGGCCCCCCATCGAAGATACCAGGCCTGAAGGAGCAACACCTAATGCAGACAACGAAGCAGTACCAAAAGATGAGATCATAAAAAGGAACAATTGTGAACTTTCCAATCAAAGACAAATTCCTCTAGTGGCACTCTGACAAAATGGATAGTCAAGTAAAGAACTGAGTTCAGGTAACCTTTTGGAAATGATGTATGTAAAAGCTGGGAGCAGGAGCCAACGTCTCATTCGGAGGAGAAGGACATTACCCTTTGACAGCCCATGTCATTCTGTCGTGTGTTCCCGAGGACCCAGAGATGCCCCCTGCTCCACGACAGGCCAGCTGACAGGCTCCGAAACGCCACAAGCTGAAGATTTCTCCTTTTGCGATACAGTAACAAGCGTGGTTTCATGAAGATATGGTGACAGCAGCCTGACTGTGAAAGGACTATGCTAATCAACCTGATCTCACCAGAATGCGTGACTCCACCACGACTCCTTAACACTGCATTGCGTGGTGGAGTCACGAACTTTGTTACATTTACGTGTCTGCACCACGCAAACAACCCCAATGTAAAGTGAATGAGGCTCTTTTGTCGTGGTGCACACACGCATTTCTACAACGTCCTGCAGTGAGCTTTTATTCTATAAAACGTTTTTAAAATCTACTTTATAGCTTGTAGTAACTCGCGGGAGGCTTCTTTTATTTTATTTGTAATCATAATCATTTTTATTTTTCGTCAGAATGTATTATGGTGCATTAGTTACGCATTTGTGTTCTCAAAAAACAGTGCATTGTGTGTAATACAACTGTGATTTTTATTAAATTAGTTAGTTTTTAAGGAAGGCCAGAGCTTCAGCTGTGTCCAATAGATTGTTCCCTTTAGTTAACGTTTTTTAAAAGAACATTATATTCCGATTTGATCCTGTCCCCTTTATTGTTTTACGGAGAGCAATGTGAGCGTCCATTCCCATTGGATAACGGAGGGTTTTACACCCGGAAGTGAGTATTCTCTTTACTGTCGATTGATTTTACAGTGATATCTGCACTACTCATCAACTCAAAAACACCAGTTTATCCTTGTTAATTACACAACATTGATTGGTTTAAGTTGTGTACAATGCTTTTGTAATTTCCCCCTTCGATTCGGAGAAACAAATATTTGTTCAGTTTAGGATGGCCGAAGACACTACACTACCAAGGGCCAATTCAATGGCCTAAATATAGCGATATAACAGGAATGCGTCCGTTCAACTGGTACATATCATTTTGAAATCCCTTATGAATGTTGGTAGATATTTAGATTTAGCACGCCATGCTAGCTCGATGGGTAATGTTCAGTGGTTAGTTAAATCCTTGGCAAATGTTAAACATACACACATTTGATTGACTGTCCTTTGTATTTAACCAATGTGTTGCACTGACACAGCTCGTGATTTCAAAGTGTTTTTTAACAAACCCTCTAGTGTTTCAATATATTATAGTGTAAAGTTAATGTCAGTGTTTTCAATACGTGGTATTTTATTGATGGATTTGAGTTCATTTGAGCTCGCACTTGTGCTATACAATGATGATGAATGTTTCTTAAAATAACTTGATATGACTTATTAGCTTTCACTTTCACATGCAGTACATGAATCAGTATTATGTAACACTTAAAACGCAGTCACTTTTAACAATTGTAGAGACCTTTTGTAGAAATGGCAAATGGCCAGCAGATGACACCCTTGACCTTGGTTTGGTTGATGTCCTAGAGAGCGAGAAAGAGGGAGAGATGAGTTACAGATGAAGGAGACCAGTGTTACAAATGTTGTGTGCATAATCATTATCATATTCTAGACAAACATGTTTTTGTCCCCTAGGATTTCGAAGCTCACTGTGTTCCGTAGTTGCCGTAATATGTAAAGTACAATATGTGCCCCATTTGTATTACTTGTGAAATGCTGGACATTTATACTTCTCGTTTTGTGTATTGTTGTTATATCCTAGCAAACATAAACTGTGTTACGGTTGAGCATGGGCGCGGGAAGGGGGGTGCTGAGGGCGCTGCAGCACCCCCTAGCGGCAGGCAGGGGGTGCGGAGCTCCCCTGCCTGAATTATTATTTGACGGTTATTGCTGCTCCAGCCTCCCGCTGTGCATAATCTGTGTAATATGTAGCCAATAAATTCCACATTGTTGGTAAAATAATATTTTGGCCTGCCCCGAATGTTTTTTCTGTTGCCCCGGACAATTCTACCTTAATAATATAATACATTAACCGTGCTTTACGTGAACACCTCATCATGACACAAGAGAGGACGGCAGGACTGTAATTTCCCGTGTTCAGTGAATGCAACAGAGGCAAGACACCAGACCAATCAGAGAGTTGCATGGAAATAAAAGTGTGTGTGTGTGTGTGTGTGTGTGTGTGTGTGTGTGTGTGTGTGTGTGTGTGTGTGTGTGTGTGTGTGTGTGTGTGTGTGTGTGTGTGTGTGTGTGTGTGTGTGTGTGTGTGTGTGTGTGTGTGTGTGTGTGTGTGTGTGTGTGTGTGTGTGTGTGTGTGTGTGTGTGTGTGTGTGTGTGTGTGTGTGTGTGTGTGTGTGTGTGTGTGTGTGTGTGTGTGTGTGTGTGTGTGTGTGTGTGTGTGTGTGTGTGTGTGTGTGTGTGTGTGTGTGTGTGTGTGTGGTCAGCCCTGAGTGAGACAGGCAGAAGAGGAAGGACATATGGCAGATTGAACGTTTTTTACAACGCATTATATATATTTAATCTTCAAATTACATGTGTGTTTGTGGTGAGGTTACACATTTTACTTTTTCAATGATTGAGACATGCGTTCTGTGCATGTAAACAAGTGGCTAGAGTGCATAAAAAGCATCAGAATAGTGCGTGTGTTTAGAGTAACACATGGTATAGGTATAGTAACGGGATAAGATTATAAATAAACTGATGTGTCCACACCACCTTTTATTTTAAACTTGGTCCCACCTTCAATATCAAATGCCCTCGCATGGATTCAGGTCTGCTCCACTCATTGATCTCTGCAGTGTGTTTTAAATAAAGTAATAAGATCTGGTTGCTTTGGTTTCCCAAATAACAGATAGTCGAGAGGCTCTTCTTCTCACATCTAGTTGGTCCCAGTTGAGAAAGTGTTGACGTTACTTCAAACCAAGAATAGAAAATCCGTCTCTGATTACATTAATAGCTAAATGTTGAATTTGACGAAATGCCATTCCACAAAAGAAAGACATCTTTGAATCTCAATTTAAACTGGCACCAGCTGAATTCACCAGCTGAACTCATTTCCCACTAAGCCATCAATCTATGACATTGCATTTTGTTCTTGTCCCTCCTTAATATGGATCTGAGAAGCATCTCAATGATCTCACACTTTCACTGGTGTGACCTTTTTTGAATGTTTGCAGTATCAGACAGACTTTGACTATGAGCAAGGGGAAAAGGAAAGCATGCACATCTCTACAAAGCCTTCACAATGGCCACCTGCAGATACTGATGTCAATCATTCATTTAAAGGAGGATTGAATTGCCTGTCTGTGCTTGATTTGCATTGCACCCGTCATTCAAGTACAATCATTCCCTTAATAGCAAATGATGTCGAAGGAAAGCATTCGTCGCACCTAGTAAGCATGAAAAGGGATGAGCACGAGCAGAAGAGGCGATGACAGGAAAAGGGAGATAGCTTAAGCTTAACAGTTACATCATCAGAAGGTTAGTGATCAAGTATTTGTGCGCAAACAATGTATTTAAATTGGCAGGTCAGGGTAAACAAATATGGACATTTAAAGAATGAACAGGAATGTTTCGCTGTAGGGCTGAACATATTTTGATCATCGAACTCAAAAGCTATATTTGTATAAAGTATTTGCTCTTATTTATTTTATTTTATTAGATTAGATTCATTTCGAACGTGTAAAACAATAATACAAACAATTATAATAACAACGAAATGAAACAAGATAATTATGATACTGTACAAACGTAAGCAGTATCACATTGATAAACCAAAATATGACTGACTGACACATTATATAAACAAATGATCTACTTACACATCCAAAAAGAGGGGGGGAGAAGTTTACACTTATTTAATCCCCTTCTCTCAAACACTACATTATTAACAACATGTACATCTAAATGTATACATACAATATACATTTACAATTATAAATAGATGCTTATCCACACTTACAATAACTCAGAACATCAAAGTCCACTTTAATGTCAATCTATCTCAGTTTGTGTTTACAGACAGTGAGATCCAAATGACGTTTCCAAACATCCTGAATGTAAAATTATACAGCCTACAGATATGTATAAAATATGTATAAAATATGGTAATCCTATATACACAATCAAAAGACACATTTACACATATGCACACATTAAGATAAAAAAAACACAACAATCAATATATATTGTGTCCTTGGGCAAGACACTTTACCCGCATTTGCTCCTGTGGGTAATGTCCACAGTAATGGCTCTTACATGTATGTGTAATGTGTACTTGTAAAGCGCGTTGAGCACCTGTAAAAGCGCTCTAATAAAAAATGTAATGCATTATTATTATATACACAATAACAGTCTCTTCAATATCAATAACTTTGGTGCAAGATTGTCCATAAAATGTGCATTTATTACAAATTGTCCATAGCGGCGTAAAAAAAGTGTCTTGTGCTGGATTTGAGTGTCTGAGTGTGTGGGGAGTTATAGTCCAGTGGGGGCAGGGGGGAGGGGGGAGGGAGGGGAGAGGGGAGAGAGTTCAGCCTGGTGTAAACAACTGTTCCTCAATCCGGTTGTGCTCGACATGTTGGTGGAGCTTGCAGATAAAACACTTTGCAGGAGCAGCTCAGCAGTAACACGGCGTAGCGTCCTGTTAGCGTCCTGCTAGCCTCCTGCTAGCCTCCTGTTAGCCTCCTGTTAGCGTCCTGCTAGCCTCCTGCAGAGACCACAGCCACTGCTGGAGCTGAAGATGATGGAGGAGGCTTCCCTGCAGTCAGCGTGTCTCCACATGTTGTCTTCTCTTTGAGTGATGTTAACAACAAACATGTCGTTGACAGAAAAACAATACAAATCAGGAAGCTTTTTGCGAGAAACTATTCAACAAATATTGAATAGACAGTTGTGTCAACAAGTTGTGTTTATTGCTACTATCAACATTCATATAATCATAACAGCATTATTGTTCATAATCCAGAGAGTGATTCTGCGCATTTGGGATTTGTAAAGCCATTGTAAATAACACTTCATAACAGAACTGTGTCACGATCTGTCTGTCTTTGTTTTCCTGTTTCAGTTTGAAAAGTGTTCACCCCCTCCCCGTCTCGTCTGTTGCTTCCTGGCTCTGAGTTCTCCTACCTGATTACCTGATTGTGTTCACCTGGTGCACCTGTGTGTTCTCCTCCCTCCTCCCCTGGGTCCTGTTTGTTTCATTAGTGCTGTGTGCATTTAGGTTCTGCTTGTTCCGTCAGTCTGTGTGAGATCCTTGTTGTTGTTGACTGTGTTCACGGGGGAGAGACTTCTGCTGTTTGTCTTTGTAGCCTTGAAATAAAGGTGTTTTCTGTTAAACCTGCATGTGGGTCCTGCCTGCTTCGCTCAACCCTGACTAGCTACACTTGTAAGATAAAGATTATAAGATAAGAGGTACTTTATTGATCCCAAATTGGGAATTGTTTGCGTTGCTGCAGCATAAAAAACAAAACAAAGCACATAAGTAGAAATTAAAGAGTAGAAATAAACAATTAAAGAATTAAAAAATCGAATTAAAACAGCATTAAAAAGTAGGAAATATAATGTAGACCGTGAACATAAACATATATCAACTCTTTAGGGCTTTAGACACAATATAAAACAGGATATTATGTACGTGTAGAGAATGGAATATTACATTAAATATGAATGTAAAATGTACAGTGTGTCCAGTTATGAAATTAAACTTTATAACAGAACTAGTGGCTACACTTGTTGATATGAGGCTAATTGTCACTGAGCTGTTTTTGTGAAATGCACTCAGCATTTGTCATGAATATGATCCCTTATGTGGCTTCAGAGTTGCATTAATCATGCTAGCTTCCATGCAGGCACATACATGGTCACATTTGGTTTGATAACAGTTATGCCTCTCCTGCTATGACATGGTAGGGACTAATAAAGCGCCTGTGGTTGCCTTACAAGGCTCTGCAGCTGGAGGGAGGCGTCTACCTGATCCTGACTGATTTGCACACAGGTGAGAGGAGCCATATAACTGCGGAGGAGAAGCCACATCCAGCAGCAGATCTGTCAGCATCAGGTGAGTTGTGTGTTTTATTTATAACAGAAGTTTGGGAAGCTATCAAGGTTAGAAGGGTCAGCTTTCTGTCCCCAGAGTCAAACTAACATGGAGAAGTTATTATGCTCCAAATATCTGGAACAAACTCCCAGAAACCTGACTAAATCCAGGCTGAAGACTTTTCTTTTTGTCGCTGCTTTTAATTGAACTATTCACATCTTAGACTTCACTGTAACTTTTATTCAAGTATTTTGTCTTTTAATATTTATTGTATTATCTTGACTGTTTTTAAATGACATTTTCTTAATGTGTTTCATTGTTGTAAAGCAATTTGAATTGCCTTGTGTTGAAAGGTGCTATATAAATAAACTTGCCTTGAACAGTCATGAGAGTTCAATAACAGAGCCTGGCGAGGGGGGAAGTGTTGAAAAATCTTATTTGATCTCGTAGTAGCATTTGCAGTCGGTTTCTAACATTTCCAAATACTCGTGCTTTAGTGTTCGTCTCAGTTAATGAACACACTTTGCATTTGGCATTCTTTGAGTTAGCTCCCTGATCTCAGCGGGAGGGAATGATTAACGGCAATCATGGAGACTCATTAAAGCAATGTGACGCCGCGACATTCACAAAAGTGATGTGGCACTTCTGGCTCTCTCACCGTGGATCGAGAGCGAGCTATTCTCTCAGACTTCTATAGAGCAGCGCTGCATTATTAACTCGAGCACGTCTCTGCTCATAATGATAAGAACCGTCAGACATTCAAACGATGAAACCTGACCGAGCCTCGGCACTGAGGCATCAGGTCGTTTCTCTGAGGTAAGGAGAGCCACCTGTGCATGCTGCCCAGCAGGGGGTCTGTCCTTTGTGTTCGTGGAGGGTGGGGGTGACCTGACTCAGCCCCTCCGAAGCAGCGTCTCATGTGTCTAATAGACTCAGTTTTTAAGCCTTTTTTTAACCTGCATTTTATTTGGCTTTCGGCTAAATTTAGGACATCTTCCATCGTTTTCTCTCTTCACTGTTCATTTTACATTTATATATTCAGTTAATACTCCATCTGTCACATACTTATGTATATATAATACCTTGCTTTATACTGTATCTCGTTATTGTACATTTGTAAATTCAACATTTCAACTTTCTTGTTTGTCTCTTGTCTTTTAATTTGTATTGTACAACGCCGTGTCTTTTTATGCTGCTGCAACACACACATTTCCCAAATTGGGATCAATAAAGTTCTTATCTTACAACAACAATGAATAATTTAAACATAACAATCTTTGTTTTCAATGTGGAACAAATCTGCTCAAATCATCAGTGTTTTAATCAAGTCTTTGAGTTTTTAGCAAAGCGCTATATAAGTTTAATTTATTATTATTTCAGTCTGAAATGTTTCATGCATCACAGCAGCTCCATTTGCAACATCAAGAAAGATAAAGTAACTAAGGATACAAGATGGAGACATTTATTAACAGTCACATTTTTGTATTTATTTTGTTTATTATATAACAAATGTCTTAATTTGTTATTAAAATGTCTTAATTTAATTTCTTAATACAAAGCATTTTTTAAAAGATTTTAAAAGTTGGACCATATAAGTAAACCAATCAATTTGCTTTCCCGCGTTGCATAATTTAACAGCATGCTATCTCTATAAGAACAATACGTACGATACGATAATACTTTAAGGTCACATAAAGTCTGACATGTTTCTTTCATCACTGCAGCTACATCAAGACAAACAAAGGATGCAAGGATAGAGACATTCAACAGACATCATTTCGTCTGCACTTTGAATGTGTGTGTTTATCAAAGTGAAGTAACGTTTAAAAAAGCTCTTAGAAGTTGGACCTAATATCCAATCAATTTGTTTCCCTGCGTTGCATCATTTAACGGCTTAGGTATCCTTTACTGACAGAAGTTAAACAGATGAAGCCAAAAGAAAACAACACTTTTCATTAATGACATTTACCTTCAGGAAAATGTGCAGACAGAATATTGTGTGCCAGGACATTAGGAATCAACTGAACAATAACAACACCACAAAGTAACGTCTTTGAAAACCGGATCAAATCCACAGAAATGCTGAAGCACCATTTTTGTATTTAGCGTTTAACTAGTTTGTAATACAATGTTGGTGTTTTATTAGGGGCTGTGGCTCAGTGGTTAGTGCGCTGAACTTTGAATCGGGGGATTGCAAGTTCAAACCCCACTGCAGTCAGCATGTTGTTGTGTCCCTGAGCACTTCACCCCAAATTGCTCCTGTGGGGATTGTCCTCGCTACTGAATGTATATAAGTCGCTTTGGATAAAAGCGTCTAACAAGTGGCATGGAATGTAATGCACTGATTTGTCATTGCAGGCATTAACTACACGACTGAAATATGGCTTCCCACCTGGAATCCTCCATTGAAGGCATCATTAAAGTCTTCCACTCATATTCTGGAAGAGAAGGTGACAAATACAAGCTGAGCAAATCGGAGCTGAAGAACCTGTTGGAGGGGGAATTTGGTGACTCCATGAAGGTGAGTAATGGACTGAAAGCAAAGGTTTGACACCTCACTATAATTAGAATACAATTTATAACACTTAAAGGTCCCCTAGTATACTGTTTTTCATCAATATATCAAACAATGGTGCTCTAGGAGGAGATTCAGGGGGGGGGTTACCTTGGTTGGTGATTGGCTAATGGTTACACAAGACAAAACATCGTTATGACATCATAAAGTGGCCAAAATCTGATCAGCTCATTTTCAGACAGGTTTTTATAGAAATGGATCAAAAAGAGAGAGAATCTTTGTTCCTGAAACTTTCAGAGTCTCTTTCCACAGAGGGGACACATGGTGATGTAGAAGAGACATGAAGAAGAGGGGACACATGTTGATGTAGAAGAGACATGGAGAAGAGGGGACACATGTTGATGTAGAAGAGACATGAAGAAGAGGGGACACATGTTGATGTAGAAGAGACATGAAGAAGAGGGGACACATGTTGATGTAGAAGAGACATGAAGAAGAGGGAACACATGTTGATGTAGAAGAGACATGAAGAAGAGGGGACACATGTTGATGTAGAAGAGACATGAAGAAGAGGGGACACATGTTGATGTTGAAGAGACATGAAGAAGAGGGGACACATGTTGATGTAGAAGAGACATGAAGAAGAGGGGACACATGTTGATGTAGAAGAGACATGGAGAAGAGGGGACACATGTTGATGTAGAAGAGACATGAAGAAGAGGGGACACATGTTGATGTAGAAGAGACATGAAGAAGAGGGGACACATGTTGATGTAGAGGAGACATGAAGAAGAGGGGACACATGTTGATGTAGAAGAGACATGAAGAAGAGGGGACACATGTTGATGTAGAAGAGACATGAAGAAGAGGATTTTGCATAATAGGTGACCTTTAATATAGTACAATTGTCAAACTTGTATTGTGCTGTAATATTATTTTGTTCATCTATTCAATATCATACATGAACAACATACACAAGTCCAGGGGCAGACATGCAAAGCAACATGACATTACAGGAAGCACATAAAGAAAAGAAAGAAGGACAAATACATTTTGATACTTCAGATTCAATATTTTTTAAATACCATAATAGTTTGAATTGCTTTCTTATTCCTGATGTTTTTAATAGTGCTAATGCATTGTTTAAGTTCTTGATAGTAATGTTCAAATGTTGGTTTGCAGTCAGCCCATTTATTTTTATGGATATGAAATGTCCCTAAAAATTAAATGAACTGCGTATTGTGCTGTAATAGTATCTAAACGCATTGATTTAGTGTTTACTTCTGTCTGTCTTCGTCTGCTGTTCCCGTTAGTGTTTACTTCTGTCTGTCTTCGTCTGCTGTTCCCGTTAGTGTTTACTTCCTGTCTGTCTTCTTCTGTTGTTCCCGTTAGTGTTTACTTCCTGCCTGTCTTCTTCTGTTGTTCCCGTTAGTGTTTACTTCCTGTCTTCGTCTGCTGTTCCCGTTAGTGTTTACTTCCTGCCTGTCTTCGTCTGTTGTTCCCGTTAGTGTTTACTTCCTGTCTGTCTTCTTCTACTGTTCCCGTTAGTGTTTACTTCCTGCCTGTCTTCTTCTATTGATTTGAGTGACGTCCAGCACTCTGTCTTTGAACCTGTTTTACTTTTCTTGTCCTCTTTTTCCTTTTCTTTATGGGGACAGTTTAGTCACCATGAATCCAAAGTTTTGCGCTCTCCACAAATACAAAATGAATATTTCCGAAGAGTACTTAGTGTTCAAACGGAGGAAAACAATAGTTTAACCCTTGTGTTGTCTTCCTATTGACTTATTGCACATATTAAACCTGGAACTAACAAAGCTTAAATTATTGCCTATAAAAACAACATTAAACATGAAATAATCAGTTACATTCATTTCTTATGGCTCTATCTGCAGAGTCATTTCTTATGGCTCTATCTGCAGCTTTTCCAGAGTCATTTCTTATGAGTACATTTTACCACAGGTCAACAGCAGTTTAGAAAAAGCAATTTACCTCAAAGAACAAACCAAGCATGTCCTGTTGTCGTGAGAGAAGACGTGCAGAAAGAAACATCCATTAAACTCAGTGTGCTGCTCTGTGATGCTAGTTCAGATACTTGGCATCTCATCTTGGGTGCAAGGTCATCAATGTTTGGGCTCAGACTCTGAGCTGAGGAGACCCTCAGGATGGAGTGAAGGTGTGCGTGCAATATACCGGCAGGCCAGATCTAATAGGAATTATAAATTATCCTGCGGGTCGAAATTAAATCCACCACGGGCCTGATTTGGCCCCCCGGCCTTGAGTTTGACACATGTGACATAGACCCTAAGCAACGGTCTGTTAGTGAACAATAGCAGATCTGGGCAGTGCTATAGTGTCTGGGTATCTTAACACCCCATGGTTTTTAAAGCTTTCAAGTGCATTTGCCATCAACAATTGATCTTGAGTGGAAAAAATAGATTCTTCCCGGTTTTACTTTCTTTATTCTGTTTCAGAGCTGCAAGGACCCCCAGGTGCTGGAGCACATTATGAGCGGGCTGGATGAAGACAAGGACGGGGAAATCAGCTTCCAGGAGTTTGTCGTTCTGGTTTTTGAGCTGACTGTGACCTGCAATGAATTCTTCCAAGACATGAAGGATCAGGGTTCTAAGAAAGTCTGAGCATTCAGAATAAATCCCCAATCCCTCCTTTACATCATTAAGATCCAAACTATATTATAGTTTGTGGAACTTTCAATCACTACAAACTAAATGTCATGATTCTGATATTTTATTTTTGTCCTTGAAAAGTATTCCACCTCAATAAAGATGTCATCCTTTACACAAGTGTCCTTTTTTAAAGAAGCAAGCTGGACTGCTTAATGTATTTTAAACACTATGGCAGAAATTAAACATACATATAGATGACATTTGTATTTACATATCCCAAGACAACCGTGTGTTTCACAGCTTTAAAGACAGCATCTGACACCCTCTGTCATTAGACCCTTACAGTACAACACACACATAACTAATCCCTATAATCAATCGAAGAAAGGGAAGGACCGACAGACGTGCAAAAGAGGTCATGAAGTTAAAGAATAAAACAACATAATGATATTATAACAGACAATCCAAATGACATAGAAGGTAATGTCAACATATATAACATGGAGGATCCAGGGGGGTTTTAGAAAGCCTCGAGGTGCCACGGAAAATAACAACAATGGCGTCGGGTAGAAATTAATCAATTCCAATGGCTATGACACCTGAGTAATGAGAGACCCGTTCTCATAAGAAATGAAGCCTACCCTTACACATCCATCAAATATTTCTGTTACTCCTCAGCTAACTCGAATTAGATGATTATAAGTTAACACCTAATACATCCCACAAATGAAGCTCAGCGCAAGTTCAACCAAGACCGTCTTTACTCATTCATGTATTTCTATCTCCATGTTTCTACTCTCTCTCCTCTCAATAAGTGACCGGGGGCGTCACTCTTCAGCTTAGCCAATCACTTCGCTCTATTCCCAAGAGCCTATCATAGCGTGCCATCACACCCTTTAAACTCTGCTCTTTCCCCTCTGACAGTCATTTCAGGTGACTCGACGCAACCCTCCTCCACCCCTTTTCGCCTCCCGTCCCTCTGAATCCAGGGTCAAGCTAAACCACTCCTCCTCAGACCGACCCAACTATCCATTCACCACCACCAGTGTAGTGATGGGAATTACGGCTCTTCTTGGTGAGCCGGATCATTTGGCTCGGCTCACCAAGAAGAGCCGGCTCTTTCGGCTCCCAAACGGCTCTTCAGTTTACCACTTATTATACCTTTTAATTAAATCAAATGTGGCCCTGTTTTGACTAATGATTTATATGTGTACACACATATATCACTTAAATTATTCAATACATCCTTTGCACTGAAGTATTAAAAAGTAAAAATTACATGTTTAATATAAATGATCTGCTGTGGCCAATTGTTTTCATTGCATTTACAGACCTGTGTAACTCTCTGATACCACCCAATGAATGCATTGACTTGCTTGTAGAACCACGCTACACAAAACAGATAGCAACACCTATAAAAACTATTTAAAAAAAAGGGGGTACTGTATCGACTTATATAAAGTATATAAATATAGGTTTTTTTTTCAAAATACCAAACAGATCCTGCATTTTAGCCATGCCTCATTTCGCTCTATTTGCTCTTTCTAGCGCTGTTTTTGCAGGGGCTGATTCTGTGAGCTGCAGCTGACCACGCCCCCCTGCAGGAGAGGAGAGCGTGCTCTGAGATCAGCTGCTGGGCTGTCAGAAGAGGGGGAGAAAAAGAGATCTCAGTCCCCCGTGTTTTATTCTTATAGAAGTAAGAAGAGAAGTAACGGGGCAGAAACCCTCCTTTTTACGCAGCGGTCCAGACATAGACATCAAACGGTGACACATATTCAGTTGGCAGTTCCTTTGGCATTAGGGCAGGGATATCTAGATACTTTCCAAGGTTTGACATAATGAATTGTGCTACTTTTAAAGCAAGCAACGATGTTTTCAAATCTGTAATCAAAAAGCTCCTCAAAAACACTATCGAAGCAGTTCCTGCCGTTGCTACGTTAGTTCAAACAGTAACAACGGACTACTTTTCTTAGCGGATGCATGTCAATTTAAATCAATAAAATCATTTTCAAAATCCATAAAAGCATTTCTATTAATATTGGGAGTCATGTCGTTACTTTGTTGAGAATGTGGCCATGTAATAAGCGGGATAATGTGCACATTGCATTATGCCTTCATGCCGATCTAGATCCCTCCGCAAAAATGGCTCGTTCGCGGGCGAGAGCCGGCTCCCGTCGTTCACTTAAAAGAGCCGGCTCGTTCGCGACCGACACATCACTACACCAGTGTCTAGACCCCGGGGGGTTTTCATCGGATCGGTTCTACCCTCCCGAATGATACTCCTGCACAACAGGGTCTAATCGACAAAACTACTGTCACATTCATTTGTGTATCTGCGCATTAAATATGTATCATCACATCAAAACTGTCTCTCCTGATTGAACTACATTTTGCCACAATCTCCAACAGCCAATCGTCGTATTGCCGTCAAACTTTGAATCTGTTCTGCTCTCTTTTGCCGTCATACATCCATCAAACATGATTGACTTCTCTATCATCTTGTGCATGTATCAAGCCATTCTCTTTTGGGAACAGGTCTCATTTCATTAAAGAGCTCGGCTGCTGCTTGTATTTTACTTACTCTGTAAAGATTACGTAATTCTTAATGTTTTTTTTTGTTTTGTTTTCTCTTTTCCTCCTTTCAGTATTTTTTGTTGTATTTTGAGTGGGTTAGCCTTGACCTTTTTGTTTGTCTACGATGCTGTCGACTGGCAGCTTTAGAATATTCTCAGGCAATAAGGCAAGTGTATTGATATAGCACCTTTCAACACAAGGCAATTCAAAGTGCTTTACAGAAATGAAAGACATGAAGAAAATGACATTTAAAAACAGTCATTAAAAAGCAAAGATAATAAAATAAACATTAAAAGAAAAAACACAATACCCAACGTCTCCTTTTTTTCCCTGTACGCCATGTAAAGGTTTCAGGTGCCTACTTACTGTATATTGTGCATGTCTTTGCTTTATTGTAACTAAAAGAACAATTCTAAATAAAGTAGAAAAAACAGAAATGCTCTTTTATCCAAAAAGAAGTCCCTCCAGACTGAAACACTTCACCAGCTTACTGGCAACCTTGAGCCCCACCCAGTGGCCGATGGAGGTACTTCATCATGTCAGCCTGACGTCATCTCATCCAGCAGCTCTGTTTTAATCTGATGGAAAACATTGGCACAATAAATGATGTCAGTCAGAAACATTCTGGCTGTGCATTTCAGAGAGACTGCAGTCACTTGATCAAACAGACAGGTATCGAATGAACACACTGCAGACGACAGAGGCTTCTGTGCATTTATGAGAGCATTTGCAAGCCATTTGAATTCCTCTCTGGATATGTCTCAGGGTTGGGTTATAATTATCAAGGTTATGCTTTGAATGTTTTCCCCTTTAAGTGTGATATACTGATGCATTTCCTGTAATGCTTACTAGCTGGATCGACCTGCCTTTGATCTACGTTCATTGTAATTCATTTTATAAATAGAGTTTGTGTTTTGAAAGAATACGACTTATTACAACTACAAATTCAGTTTATTCACACACAGGACATTTTGTTGGAATGTACCACTTTCTCTTTCGCGACAAGTTTCCCCATATGTTTCCAGATGTTTTGACAATTTCACACATTTCATTTAACTTTTCAGCCCAAATTAAAGCAGCATCTCATTATCATTGTCTGTATTGATTCATGTCTTTCAAGGTGCTTCAATATTAATCAAAAAGTATGCAAACCAAAGTATCCAGTTCATGCTTCCAACAAAAGTAACTGTTAGTAGAATCTGAGGAAGATCCATCCATCCATCCATCTTCTCCCGCTTATCCGTGGTCGGGTCGCGGGGGTAGCAGTTCCAGCAGAGAGCCCCAAACTTTCTTTTCCCTGGCGACATCAACCAGCTCTGACTGGGGGATCCCAAGGCGCTCCCAGGCCAGCGAAGAGATATAATCCCTCCACCTGGTCCTAGGTCTACCCCTTGGTCTCTTCCCAGCTGGACGTGCCTGGAACACCTCCCTAGGGAGGCGCCCAGGTGGCATCCTAACTAGGTGCCCGAACCACCTCAACTGGCTCCTTTCGACGCGAAGGAGGAGCGGCTCAACTCCGAGTCCCTCCCTGATGACCGAACTTCTCACCTTATCCCTAAGGGAGACACCAGCCACCCTGCGGAGAAAACCCATCTCGGCCGCTTGTATCCGCGATCTCGTTCTTTCGGTCATGACCCATCCTTCATGACCATAGGTGAGGGTAGGAACGAAAATGGCCCGGTAGACAGAGAGCTTTGCCTTCTGGCTCAGCTCCCTTTTCGTCACAACGGTGCGGTAAAGCGACTGCAGTACCGCTCCCGCTGCTCCGATTCTCCGGCCCATCTCACGCTCCATTGTTCCCTCACTCGAGAACAAGACCCCGAGATACTTGAACTCCTTCACTTGGGGTAAGGACTCATTCCCTACTTGAAGTGGACAGTCCATCGGTTTCCTGCTGAGAACCATGGCCTCAGATTTGGAGGTGCTGATCCTCATCCCAGCCGCTTCACACTCGGTTGCGAACCGATCCAGTGAGTGCTGAAGGTCGCAGACCGATGAAGCCATTAGAACCACATCATCTGCAAAAAGCAGTGGTGCAATCCTTAGTCCACCGAACTGCAGACCCCCTCCCCCACGACTACGCCTCGAAATCCGATCCATGTATATTACAAACAGGATTGGTGACAAAGCGCAGCCCTGGCGGAGGCCAACCCTCACCGGAAATGTGTCCGACTTACTGCCGAGGACCCGGACACGGCTCTCGCTTTGGGAGTACAGAGATTGGATGGCCCTGAGTAGAGACCCCCTCACCCCATACTCCCGCAGCACCTCCCACAGTAACTCCCTGGGAACTCGGTCATACGCCTTCTCCAAGTCTACAAAACACATGTAGACCGGATAAGCGTACTCCCAGGCCCCCTCCAGGATCCACGACCAGGACGGAATCCGCATTGTTCCTCCTCAATCTGAGGTTCGACAATCGGCCTGACCCTCCTTTCGAGTACCTTAGAGTAAACTTTCCCGGGGAGGCTGAGTAGTGTGATGCCTCTGTAATTGGCACACACCCTCTGATCCCCCTTTTTAAAAAGGGGAACCACCACTCCGGTCTGCCACTCCTTCGGTACTGTTTCCGACTTCCACGCAACGTTGATGAGACGT